GACACTAAGTAACCTACTTCTTTCAACCAGACCTGCCTTCTCCCAGTTAACTATTCACGTTTGATTTTTTTCATTTTCTTTTCCTGTATGTACTTGCATGTATGTGTAATGCTGGAGATTGAACCTAGGGCTTTGTCTGTGCTGTACTGGCACTCTGAGCTACATGGCTAGCCTTCTGTTGGCATTTTCAATCCATCTTCTTAAAATTGACCTCTGACACACCTGCCCACAGGTATGCTTTGCTGATCTCCTTGGCATTACTCAGTCCAATCAAGTTGACAGATGAAAGGAGCTATCACATCAATTAAAGAATCTTGTTACAGGGGCTGGGAAGGTGGCTCCCTGGTAGAGTGCTTGCCTTGCATGCATGAGGCCCCGGGTTCAATTCCTCAGCACCACATAAGCAGAAAAAGCCAGAAGTGGGGCTGACTCTCAAGTGGTAGAGCGCTAGCCTTGAGCTGAAGAGCTGAGGGACAGCGCCCAGGCCCAGAGTTCAGGCCCCACAACCAACCAAAAAAAAAAAAAAAATCTTGTTACAGAAAATGTTTGTGTATAGGTATTTGAAGGTTGTTGGTTGAGAACCTTAAACTTTGCAATTTTGTGCTTGTATAGCTGATAAATTTTGACATCTATGTTCCCAGAAGTGATAAATGCTTAGTTTTATTTTCAGTTGTACTGAAGATCTTAAATTATTTTTAGTTTGTATGCAATCTGAATAACTTTTCTGCCTACTTGATGATCATTTTTTATTTGAGTATATTTCTTCAGGAAGAAAATGTACCCTGAATTTAAAAGAAGGATCAGAAATAAGAGAAACTAACAAAGCATTATTAATGAGCATTACATAAAGTTGGCTTACTATATAATTTTCTAAAATAAAACTTTCAGTTGTTTAAGTACAGATTAATGCATATGATCTAAAAATTAGTTTAGCAAAATCTAGACATAAATGGGACAGAAAGAAAATCACTGTAGGAAATCAGGTCATATCATTATCTGGTGAATGGCATGTACAGCTTAAGGTTGTATATAGCCTGAAAGAAATCCTGAAGTCCCCAGTGTGGTCTGAATCTATCTTGGTACTGGTCCACTTGGTCACCACTTGAGGACAATTGTGTATTTGATAGGAGTTTTCAATTTATTTATTTATTTTAATTTTTGTCAGTCATGGGCCTGAACCCTGGGCCGGTGCGCTATCCCTCAGCTCTTCAGCTCAAGTCTAGCGCTCGACCACTTGAGCCACAGCGCCACTTCCGGCTTTTTCTGCTTATGTGGTGCTGAGGAATTGAATCCAGGGCCTCATGCATGCAAGGCAAGCACTTTACCACTGAGCCACTTTCCCAGCCCCAAGTTTTTTCTGTAAAAAAAAATCTGCCCGTGGAATTAAATACTTAAAATTATACATATTGTCTAGTGAAATAACTTCAAATTCAAAAAGCTCTGAAAAGTTAAAAACCCAGACATAATCCTAAAATTCATGGCCAGCAAATGTGACTTCAAATAATATGGGTCGGGGCTGGGAAGGTAGCTCAGTGGTAAGAGTGCTTGCCTTGCATGCATGAGGCCCTGGGTTTGATTCCTCAGCACCACGTAAGCAAAAAAAAAAAAGCCAGAAGTGGCACTGTGGCTCAAGTGGTAGAGCGCTAGCTGAGGAACAGCAGCCAGGCCCAGAGTTCAGGCCCCAGGACTGGCAAAAAACAAATAATATACTAGTCTTTATCACTATTCAAATTTCCTAGCATAGACCCTGTGTTCACTTATGGAATGCTGCCCTAGTAGCCTTAAGGAGAGTTGGTAACATGATAACATATCATGTCACTTTTTTTTTTTTTTTTTTTTGGTTGGTCATGGGGCCTGAACTCTGGGTCTGGCTGCTGTCCCTCAGCTCCTCACTCAAGGCTAGCACTCTACCACTTGAGCCACAGCACCACTTCCAGCTTTTTGTGCTTATGTGTGGTGCTGAGGAATCGAACCCAGAGCCTCATGCATGCGAGGCTGCAAGCACTCTGCCACTGAGCCACCTTCCCAGCCCCTCATGTGACTTCTATAAAATCTTTAAAAAAAAGAAATTCTAGAGCACAATCTTGTCCCAAGAGTTTTGAATACAGCACTAGGATTGTGTGTGACTTGCTTTTCTGACCAACACTAATCATTGCTGCATTGTTAATATGTGGCGATGGCAGCTCGAGAGTTTAGGTATTACTCTCCCTAGAGATTGTAGTGGTAAAACTTAGATATAACCTTCAGTCTGGGAAGAGTAAAGACATTACTTTATAACCCAGAGTCTCACCCTGTCTTTGCACCTGGTCTAGTCACTTCAGTAGTTCAGTTGCTGGTAAGTGGACAGTCAATATTACCAATTTAACAGTTCCTATAATAGTATAGTTTAGTGAGAAGATACAATGTTGTCTTGTTGGCATACTGGAAGATAATTTGTGAGGAAAATATTCTTGGTTCTGTGATGGTCTTCTTTTTTTTCTGGTATGTTGTGAGGCTTGAACTCAGGGCCTAGGCGCTATTCCTGAAGTCTTTTTTGTTGTTGTTGTTGGTTGTGCAGCTTGAACTCCATGCCTAGGCACTGTCCCTCAGCTATTTAGCTCAAGGCAAGTGCTCTACCACTTGAGCCACAGCACCACTTCCAGCTTTTTCTGTTTATGTGGTGCTAAGGAATCGAACCCAGGGTTTCATGCATGTGAGGCAAGCACTGTCCCACTGAGCCACCTTCCCAGCCCCCTTCTCAGCCCTCCTAGGGTCTTTAAGCTCCAGGCTAGAATTCTACTCCTTGAACAACAGCGCCACTTCTTTCTGGCTTTTTCTGTTTTATGTGGTATGGAACCCAGGGCTTCATGTGCAAGGCAAGCACTACCACTAAACCATAATCCCAGCCCCATGTAATGGTCATTTTTATAGATTTTATTATATGCAAATCATTTTACTTTCTGATTATGGGAGTTCAGGGTCATCTAATAAGAAAAAGGGTGGTATGGGTTTATAGTTAACATAGTAGCAATCTAATTTTGTTTTTTTCTGGTTTGTAATTATTTTGCCACATGTAAATGGAGTTTCAAATAACATTTTTAAAGTTAAATATTAATTGAACTGGAATTATGTTTTGATGAATGGTATATAGTATGACTAAAGTCTAAGGTGCTTCTTATTTGTTTATGTGGTTAGCCAGTTCCAACATTCTTTGTTGAGATAAGCCAGTCTTCCTGATTTCAAATGCCATAGTTATCATGTACAATATTTTGTGTTTTGGTTTGTTATACATTTTAGTGTTTGATAAGAGTTGAGGGAAAACACTGTCTCTACAACTTTATGCATGATTCTAGGTACATAAATAAGAATTAGATTAGATTTGTATTAAACTCACATTAATTTGGAGACTAGTCATATCTGTATAATGGTGTTTTCTGTGTTTGGAACATGTATCTCCACTTGATCATGTTCCATAGATTTCTCCGTGAAAGTGTATGTTCTTATAAAGATGCCTATCAGGCTGGGTGCTGGTGGCTCACACCTATAATCCTAGCTACTCAGGAGGCTGAGATATGAGGATTGCGGTTCAAAGCCAGCCTGGGCAGGAAGGAAAGCCCATGAGAGTCTTATCTCCAATTAACCACCAGAAAGCTGGAAGTGGCACTGTGGCTCAAGTGGTAGAGCACTTTCCTTGAGCTGAAGAGTGCAGGGACAGCACACAGGCTCAGAGTTCAAGCCTCACAACCGACAAAGAAAGAAAGAAAAGAAAGATATGCTTATCAGGAAGTTCTTCAAAGGGATAAGTTACAGGTGCTTCTCTCAAAGGACTGAAAACATGTAGCATGGGGTTAGTGGTTCTGCCCAGTGGAAGAGTGCTTGTAGGCCCTGGGTTCCAGTCCTAGCAACTCGGGCAAATAAAAACTACACTATGTATGTGTCTGTGTGTATGCATATGTGTATGTGTGACTTTAGAAGTTGATTTCTAAAGTCCCTTTGCCATTTAGTTTAATAAGTAACTTAAATATGAAGCCTTTAAAACTATATAAAACCAGTCCTCAAATGACAATTCCTGCAAAAGAGATTTTTGTTCTTTTCACCCATAATTAAGATCATGTGATACTACCAAGTAACTGTGAGATCTGGCTTTGATAGCTTAAACTCTGTACAGAACTTTAAAATTATGGTTATTCAAGTGCTTTTTATTTGCCAGGATTCTTTTGTTGTTGTTGGTGGTGGTGGTGGTTGTGGGGCTTGAACTCTGGGTTTGGGTGCTGTCCTTCAGCTCCTCAGCTCAAGGCAAGCGCTCTACGGCTTGAGCCACAGTGGCATTTTTGGTTTTGTAGTGGTTTATTGGGAGATAAGAGTCTCATGGACTTTCCTGCCCAGGCTGGCTTTGAACTGTGATCCTCAGATTTCAGCCTCCTGAGTAGCTAGGATTACAGGTGTGAGCCACTGGTGCCCGGCTCCAGGATGTTGTTTCATATGGAAGGCAAAAAGTTAGAAATACAGCTATTCATTTTCTGTAGTCTACTTTTTATTTTATTTTATTTATTTTTGGGGGGGGGTCCAGTCATGGGGCCTGAACTCTGGGCCTGGGCGCTGTCCCTCAGCTCTTCAGTTCAAGGCTAGCGTTCTACCACTTGAGCCACAGTGCCACTTCCGGCTTTTTTCTTTTTGCTTATGTGGTGCTGAGGAATTGAACCCAGGGCCTCAGGCATGCAAGGCAAGAGCTGTCCAACTGAGCCACCTTCCCAGCCCTACTTTTTATTTTAAATGTGTAACTTTAAAAATATTTTTCTCAAGCTCTATTTACACGGTAACCATTTTATGGTAACTATGGTATAACTATTCTTAAGACTTTTTACCCTTCTTGGGTTGTTTGGCTCAAGACTTCAGGCTTGCTATGGCCCTAATACTTGAGCTGAACCTCCTGTCCTGAGGCTTCCATTTTAACACTATATTCTAAAAAGTGGTAGCTGAGATACTCTTTAACTCAACTGTTTTTCTTTTTAATTCTCCAGAAGATCTATGAACATAGGATGCTGCCACCAAATCTACCTCCTGAATTTGTCTCACTCACCATTGAGCAGTGCACTTCCAAATTGGAGCAGAATGTCTGGAGACTGTTGAAAAACTCTGAAGAACACAACTGACACATGATGACCTAGCAGGGATTTTTTTTTTTAAGCCTGCCAAGATAGATATTAGAGAATGTCAGTGTTGGTTGTGAATGCTGCAGATAACTGCAAGCCGACTTTATCTTTTTCTTTCTGAAGAATTGGTGTGACTTTCTAGCAAGACAGAGTTTTCCATTGTGCTCCTGAAGATATTAATGGAATACAGACATGGCCACTCCAGACGAGAGGCGGGTCAATACAGAGTACGCTGTGTCTCTGCTGGAACAGTTGAGACTGTTTTATGAGCAGCGGTTGTTCACAGACATAGTGTTGATTGTCGAGGGCACAGAGTTCCCTTGTCATAAGATGGTTCTTGCAACCTGTAGCTCCTACTTCAGGTAAGTACTTTAATCTTATTTTACAATCAAATATAAAATATTGACCTAGTTTAATGTTTTAATAGGAATGTTTTTAAATGTTCAAAATTTTCAATGCTGTTTTCCTTTTTTTTTTTTTTTGTGATTGCTCACTATTGACCTTTATTTTTTTTTACATTTAAATTTTCTTTTTTTTTTTTGTATTACCACTTTTTTTAAAATTGTGAACATACTGTACAGAGGAGTTACAATTACATGGGCAAGATAATGAGTACATTTCCTATCAAGCATTGTAGCCTCCTCCTTTGTTTACCCTTCACATCCCTTCCCAGCCTCCCCCCGCCTCCCCACCCAGTCCTCCCCCCCCCCCCCCCCCCACCAAAGTTGTAAAGTTCGTTTTCGACATGACAACTTGTACTTCTCATTGTTGCAACGGGTCCACCTGTATCCTTATCCCCTTTCCCTCCACAAATTATACCAACATCAAATACAGTGAAAGCAGGGGTTATACTGTGGGGGAGGGACATCCAAAGAAACAAAGAAATAATCTTATAAATGCGTTAGAAACAAATGCATGAAAGAAAAAAAATATTTAAATACATATCTTGGGGTTCATTTTCCTAACATCACCTTATCTGACCTTTCAGTACTTACCGTTTCCTTGTAGGTATATCATAGGATAGGTGAAAAGGTTTTTTTTTTTTTAAATTTTTATTTGTGTTGGTCAGAGGGTTTAAACTCAGGACCTGGGCACTGTCCTTGAGCTTTTGCACTTGAGACTTAACGCTCTACCACTTTGAGCTACAACACTACTTCTGGTTTTCTGGTGGTTAATTGGAGATGATAAGAGTCTCCTGGACTTTCCTGCCTGGGCTGGCTTCAAACTGCAACCCTCAGATCTCAGCCTTCTGTATATCTAGGATTTACAGGTATGAGTTACTGGCATGAGGCTGAAAGGAAAGTTTTTGTTTTGTTTTGTGCTGGTCTTGGGGTTTTGAACTCAGGGCTAAGCCTTGTTGCTGAGTTTTTGTTCAAACCAGTTCTCTATCATTTAAGCCATAGCTACAGTTCTGGCCTTTTGGTGGTTAATTGTCTTTCTTTTCTGCTCAGACTTCAAACTGTGATCCTCAGATCTCAGCCCCCTGAGTAGTTAGGATTACAGGAGTAAAACACTAGTGCTTAGCTCTTACAAGCTTTTATTTCAAGTTTAAGTTGCTTTTTCATGCTATTTCATATGCTAGTTTTCTTACTGATTTTCTTTGTGTCAGAAAGTTTATTACTGTTTTTATTTATTATTTGCAAGCAGTAGCTCTAAAATCTAGTTAATCATGTGATTTGGATTATGGAATTTCAAAACCATGAATTCTGATTCAGTAGATCAGAGGTAGAGTAGGTTCAGGGATGGTTGTGATCCTACCTACACTCAGACCCATTGTCCTAGCAGTTGGTGGGAGAAATTCAGGGTTAGAGGTTTGTTGATAAATGGGCTCATAAGCCCTCCTTTTAGTACCATAAGGTTTAAGTTGATTGCCCATTATTGGAAAGAACTTTATTTTTTTTTTTGGGTCCCCTTGTGGGGCCTGAACTCAGGGCTTGGGCGCTGTCCCTCAGCTCTTCAGCTCAAGGCTAGTACTTTACCACTTGAGCCACAGCACCACTTCTGGATTTTTTCTTTTTGCTTATGTGATGCTGAAGAATCGAACCCAAGGCCTCAGGCACGCAAGGGAAGCGCTCTACCACTGAGCCACCTTCCCAGCCCCTGGAAAGAACTTTTAAGCCTTATCATGAGTTCAAATGACCTTCTTGTCCTAGCTTTCTAAGTTATAGCCTGACATTTGTGGTCACCTGCCCTAACTTTTAAGCCTCTACCGAAATTCTGTTAAATAGACAGGAGTGGGGCTGGGAAGGTGGCTCAGTAGTAGAGCGCTTGCCTTGCATGCCTGAGGCCCTGGGTTCTATTCCTCAGCACCACATAAGCAAAAAAGTAAAAAGCCCGAAGTGGCGGCTCAAGTGGTAGAGTGCTAGCCTTGAGCTGAAGAGCTGAGGGACAGCGCCCAGGCCCAGAGTTCAGGCCCCACGACCGGACTCAAAAAAAAAAAAAAATAGACGGGCGCCAGGGGCTCATGACTGTAATCCTAGCTACTCAGGAGGCTGAGATCTGAGGATCTCAGTTCCAAGCCAGCCCAGGGCAAGAAAGACTGTGAGACTCTTATTGCTAATTAACCACCAGAAAACCAGAAGTATAGCATTGGCTTAAAGTGGTAGAGCACTAGCCTTGAGCTGAAGAGCTCAGGGACAGCGCCCAGGCCCTGAGTTCAAGCCCCCGGACTGAAAAAATAAAATTGTTTTATATATATATATATATATATATATATATATATATATATATACACACATACACATATATATGTATGTATGTTATGTATGTATGTATGTATGTATATATGTATGTATATACACACACACACTTTTTTTTTTGGTCGGTTATGGGGTTTGAACTCTGGGCCTGGGCACTGTCCCTCAACTCTTCAGCTCAAGGCTAGCACTCTACTACTTGAGTCACAGCTCCACTTCCCGTTTTCTAGTGGCTAATTGGAGATTGAGAGTTCCACGGACATTCTTGCTTGGGCTGGCTTTGAACTGCAATCAGATCTCAGCCTCCTGAGTAGCTAGGATTACATAGGCGTGAGCCACCAGTGCCCGACTTCTGTTAATATTTTATTGTCATGATCTTGACTAGAAAGTAACAACTTATCTTGATTAACTTCCCTTATTTGTAGTGGTGTCAGTAACTTATTTTTTATTTTTATTTTGTTGGTTTGGGGGCTTGAACTTTGGGCCTGGACACAGTCCCTGAGATCTTCAGCTCAAGGCTAGTGCTCTACTACTTGAGCCACAACACCACTTCCAGCTTTTTCTGTTTATGTGGTGCTGAGGAATCGAATCCAGGGCTTCATGCATGTGAGGCAAGCACTCTACCACTGAGCCACCTTCCCAGCCCTGGGTAGACATTTTTATACTCTACAATCATTTGATTTTTTTTTTTCCAAATGTTCTTAACTATATTCTCCGATTTCAGGGTCATTAACATGTAATACTGCTGTGACTTAAGAAATTCATTTATTTATTCATTCATAGTGGTAGAGATGAACTCAAGGCCTCACATTTATTAGGCAAGTGCTGTGCTACTTGAGCCATGGCACCAATCCAGAAGTTCTGCCTGTTGAATTACATTAGGAAGGATTACCCTCTTCCTTTTGGATTATCAGTGCTGTCCTACCAAAACCCGTATGTAGTTTTGAATAGTAGTTTCTGCTTCTTGGTACATTTACTGTTCATTTTGGACCCAAATGAGAAACCCACTTGTGAACTGCTCAGAACTTGAACTATGGTGCTTCATTCTGTTGTACTGTTACGTAATTCCAAGAAGCATAGTTACATTCTGGGAATCTTGTTAGTGTGGTATTGTAAAGTATCCTGCATAATTTTAGGAAATTCTTGTAATTTTTTTCCTTTATTGACATAGATTTTACCTACCATAAAGTTACTAATGTTTATAAATACATAGTTGGTCTCTTTACCAGTATGTTCTTTGTATTAACCAACTACACATCAGATATACTTGGGAAAATTTTTCATATCTACTGAATAGATAGAGTTTTCTTGTCTTTATTCCATAAGCAATACAGTCTTTACTGCTTAGGATGCATTTACATTGTTTTCAGTCTAGTGATGGCTTAAAGTCTTGAGGATAGAGTATAGGTTTCATACAAGTAGCCATTTATATAGGGGACTACAGTACCCTCAGGTCTTAGTCTCTCCTGCAAGTAGTCCTTAGCAGATACTATATGATGTGATAAATTTAGTACTCCTACAAAACTGTGTACCATTTCTAGAACCTAACTGAGCTCTCTGTCACCTTGTGTCCATTTACAGTCACTCTTATCCTTGCCTGTAGCTCTAGGTAACTAGTAATCTACTTGCTGTCTCTGTTTTTCTTTTCTGACCATTTCATACAAATGAATTCATACAATATATGATCTTTTGTGTCTGGCATCTATGTTTCCGTCTGACCATTGTATTTGAGGCTCATTTAAGTGTTTCATCAGTAGTTCTGTTTTATTCCATTGTATGACTATACTCAGTAAGTAATCAGAAAGGCAGAGTGAGTCTGGCATTGAATTATGTACTATTTTCTGTTGTCTGTTGGATGTCTTCCTTATCAAAAAGGACCCTGCATTAATCTTCCTGTGTTATGTCATTTCTCTCTGTAGCGCTACATTTGGTTTACCCTGAATCCTTCAGCTCTGTTCCTGTCTTTTATAGGGCCATGTTCATGAGTGGACTCAGTGAGAGCAAGCAGACACATGTGCACCTGAGGAATGTGGATGCCGCCACCCTCCAGATCATAATCACTTATGCCTACACGGGGAACCTGGCGCTCAGTGACAACACGGTGGAGCAGCTGTATGAGACAGCCTGTTTCCTACAGGTAAAGCTGCTCTTCCTCAGTGATACCTCTGAGGCTGCTTATTGTGTCAGGAAGTCCTGGTTTACTAGTGACCTGTGTCTGTAAGGTTTTTACTGGGTGTTTTATAAGGTATGAAATGAAAGCGGCATCTAACTCCCATTTCCTATGTGGGGAACAGTGTTACTTTCTTTTTCCCATTTCTCCCTTCTTTTACCCATTACACTAAAATAAAGCCTTGCTAAATCTAAAAAAGGGGGGGAGTGTGAAATGAAAAAGAATTGATGATGTAATCAGCTGGCAGACTAAGTTACTTTTATGACAGGTGAGCTGAGTGTTGGTGTGGCATGCCTGTAATCCCAGCACTGGGGAGGCTGATGCAGGAAGTTTGCCATCTTGAGGCCAGCCTGCACTACATAAAGGAAGACTCATTCAGGCCAAAATGTCATACTGGTTTCTTATTTTGCCTATTATGCCTGGGAAATTTAAATATTTACAATGGTTATGGTAAATTATATTATGCTGTTTAGTAGTTAAATAATATTGATGGTTGTTATATTTATCTCTGATTAACTTTTTTGTCAGTCGTAGGGCCTGAACTCTGGGCCTAGGCGCTGTCCCTCAGCTCTTCAGCTCAAGGCTAGCGCTCTACCACTTGAGCCAGAGCACCACTTCCGGCTTTTTCTGCTTATGTAGTGCTGAGGAATCGAACCCCAGGGCCTCATGCACGGGAGGCAAGCACTCTACCACTGAGCCACCTTTCTAGCCCTGTCTGATTAACTTTTTTAAAATTAATTTTATTGTCAAGGTGATGTACAGAGGGGTTACAGTTACATATGTAAGGTAGTGAATACATTTTTTTTGAGGTATGTGCTTTTTATTCCTAAGTTTTCAGCATTTTATATATATATATATATATATTTTTTTTTTTTTGGTGTTGTGTGAAAATACCGTACAGAGGGGTTACAATTACATAGGCAAGGTAATTGAGTACATTTCTTATCAAGCATTGTTGCCTCCTCCTTTGTTTCCCCTCTCCCCCCGCAAAGTTGTAAAGTTCGTTTTTCGACATAACATCTTGTACACCTCGTTGATCCCTATTTAAACAATTTGTTTTTTCCCTTCCCCTCCACAAATTATACCAACATCAAATACAGTGAAAACAGGGGTTATACCGTGGAGGAGGGACATACAAAGCAACAAAGAAATCATCTTATAAAGATGTTAGAAACAATTGCAAGAAAGAAAAAACATTTGAGTCCTTATCTCTCAGTTCATTTTGCCTAACATCAACTTATCTGACCGTTTCTGCTTGTCAGTAGTGAGTACATTTCTTGTCAAACATTGTTACCACCCCTTCCCTTTTCTTCCACTTTCCCTTTCCCTGATTAACGTTTACTTTCTATTTTCCTATCATTTCTGCCTCCCTATCTCCCTCGGACTTCTCACTCCTCCCTCCCCCCCTCTATCTTTTGCCAGTACTGAGGCTTGAACTGAGGACCTGGGTGCTTGTCCCTGAGCTTTTTTGCTCAAGGCTACTACTCTACCCCTTGACCTGCAGCTCCACTTCTTACTTGGAGATAGTCTCACAGACTTTTTTTTGGTTGGTCATGGGGCTTGAACTCTGGGCCTGGGTACTGTCCCTCAGCTCTTCAGCTCAAGGCAAACACTACCACTTGAGCCACAGTGCCACTTCTGGTTTTCTGATGGTTAATTGGAGATAAGAGTCTCATGGACTTTCCTGCCTGTGCTGGCTTTGAAGTGTGATCCTCAGATCTCAGTCTCCTGAGTAGCTAGGACTATAGTTGTGAGCTACCAGTGCCTGGCCTCACAAGACTTTTTTTCCCAGTCTGGCATTGAACCATGGTCCTTGGATCTCAGTCTCTAGTAGTTAGGATTTACAGGCATGAGCAGGCCTCTTTTCAGATTTTAATAGTCATATTATTTTCATCTTTTTGTCTGAGACATGTACTCAAACTTGGAATCTGACTCTGGTGCTCTACCCCTGAGCAACATCTCCAACCCCAGGAGTTATTGCTTTTTCTTTCCCCTCATTTCCTTTCTTGGAATGACACTTTCTACTTAGAAACAAAGTTTTAGGGGCTGGGAAGGTGGCTCAGTGGTAGAGTGCTTGCCTTGCATGCATGAGGCCCTGGGTTCGATTCCTCAGCACCACATAAGCAGAAAAAGCCGGAAGTGGGGCTGAGGCTCAAGTGGTAGAGTGCTAGCCTTGAGCTGAAGAGCTGAGGGACAGCGCCCAGGCCCAGAGTTCAGGCCTCACGACCGAAGGAAAAAGAAAGAAAGAAAGAAAGAAAGTTTTAGGCAGGGTACATACAGGGTGGGGTGTGTCAGTGCAGGAACTCAGGAGTGTAGAAGCAGGAGGAGGTACCTACCAAGACCCTGTCTCAAAAAACACCACAAAAAATGAGAAGGTTTATCTAAATGGAAACCTTCAAAACAAAGTTTAAAGTGTTTTAGAAACAGAGTGGATGGTACTCAGTAGATACTTAGGACACAGTAGATGATGTCTGGTAAGTGTTGAGGACACAGTGGATGATAGGTATTGAGGTCACAGTGGATGATAGCCGGTAGGTACTGAGGATACAGTAGATGATAGCTGGTAGGTACTGGGGACATAGTGAATGTAGCTGGTAGGTACTGAGGTCTGCCCTCCATGTGAATGACAGTGGTTGGATGCTCACTTGGATGTAGCCTAGGAACCAGAGCATAGTTAATTCCTTCTTATATTGCTTCCCTCCTTCTTAGTCTTACACTGGTCTTCTTGTGTGTGGTCATGTCTGGTCACTCTCTCATAGTTCATAATTAGTAGCCTTCACTTCCCAAGGCCAGACTTGGAAGAGAGTACTGTCTGTACTAAGCATTCTTTATGGCTTACACGATCACATTTTTCAGGTGCTAAAAGGTTTCTGTAAGTTTGTAATCTTTCTTGCCATGTTAATAAATTCTGTATGTGTAAGGTGTAGGCTTGCCTCTTGGGATATCAGTGAGTGCTCCTTGGCTTTGGTTGCTGTAACCAAGTTGAAGCGATAGTATTTTTAGGCAGCAGATATTATACTCATACTTCACTTTGATCCTCAAAGTGAATCCTTAATCATTTAAGATAGACAATTATTATTTCGTCAGTTTATATGAGAGAAGACAGGCTTAGAGAGACGCCATTTGCCTGTTAATTATACAAGTACTGACTGGCCAATTGAGGTCTTGGATTGAAATGACCTGACTCTTCATTGTAAGTGGCTTTTAGTTAACCAGGTGGTGAATGAGTATGGATGAATAAATGTGATTAGTGGATGGCACTTCTGAGTCAGCTGAAACCTGCCTGCTTTCTCAGGAAAAAAAAAAAATCTGTAGAAGAGAAGGCTTGGGTGGTTCAGATGCATCATTTTAGTGTAGGTAAGCTAGGGCTCTAGACATAGCAGTGGTAGAACACTTGTCTGAACACCTAGTGTTCTGACTACAGTCCCCAGCACCCTGAAACTGACCAAAGGAGGGTTGCACATTGCTCTGACTTGCATCTTCCCTCTCTAGAAAAGTGTGGCAGTAACAACTCTTCTTAATCACTTTATATGGTTGCCTTTTCCAGCTACTCAGTAATCACTTCCTGTAATTACACAAGATACTCATGTGTTGTTTTTTTTTAACTAAATTTTAAGCCCTTCTTTTTTTTTTTTTTGGTCAGTCGTGGGGCCTGAACTCTGGGCCTGGGCACTGTCCCTCAGCTCTTCCGCTCAAGGCTAGCACTCTACCAGTTGAGCCACAGCGCCACTTCCACTTTTTCTGCTTATGCGGTGCTGAGGAATCGAACCCAGAGCCTCATGCGTGCAAGACAAGCACTCTACCACTGAGCCACCTTCCCAGCCCCAAGAACCTTGTTTTTTAATGCCTAGAAAAGTTAACTTCCCTATGAATTTCCTTATCCTTGAGGCTGTTCAAATGTTTTAAATGCTTGCTTAATACTTTACTACTGTTTAAGTAGGCCAGTTAAGTAAGGTATTGATCAAGGAAATGCAGACCTCTACTAGTCTTAATTATTTTTGGGAAACTTTTCTCTTAGCCTAAACAGATGTATCTTAAGTAAAAAGTTCTCAGAAAGGGAAAGGTGACACAGGCCCTGCATCTCACCTAAAATGTGAGATGGGGTTATGGTTCAGGGTAGACACATTCTTGAACTTGCATGCAGGGCCTCTGTCCCCACTGCCATAATTTGTTGTGTATTGATTTGTTTGTTGGTCTCCCATGTCCTTATCAACCTTCTTCCCTTTATTATTTTAGGTAGAAGATGTGCTGCACCGTTGTCGAGAGTATTTAATTAAAAAAATAAATGCAGAGAACTGTGTGAGATTGTTGAGTTTTGCTGACCTCTTTAGTTGTGAGGAACTAAAGCAGAGTGCTAAAAGGATGGTGGAGCACAAGTTCACGGCTGTGTGTCACCAGGAAGCCTTCATGCAGTTGTCCCATGACCTGCTAATAGACATTCTTAGCAGTGACAATTTAAATGTAGAGAAGGAAGAGACCGTTCGAGAAGCTGCTATGCTTTGGCTGGAGTACAACACAGAGTCACGGTCCCAATACCTATCTTCAGTCCTTAGCCAGATCCGAATTGATGCACTTTCAGAAGTGACCCAGCGAGCCTGGTTTCAAGGCCTACCACCCAATGATAAGTCTGTGGTGGTCCAAGGTCTTTATAAGTCCATGCCTAAGTTTTTCAAACCACGCCTTGGGATGACTAAAGAAGAGATGATGATCTTCATTGAAGCCTCTTCAGAAAACCCTTGTAGTCTTTACTCTTCGGTCTGTTACAGCCCACAGGCAGAAAAAGTTTACAAGCTGTGCAGTCCACCTGCAGATTTGCATAAGGTTGGGACTGTGGTCACCCCTGATAATGACATCTATATAGCAGGGGGCCAGGTTCCTCTGAAAAACACAAAGAGCAATCACAGCAAGACAAGTAAACTGCAGACTGCCTTTAGAACTGTGAACTGCTTCTACTGGTTTGATGCACAGCAAAACACCTGGTTCCCAAAGACCCCAATGCTTACTGTCCGTGTGAAGCCGTCTTTGGTTTGCTGTGAAGGCTACATCTATGCGATTGGGGGTGACAGTGTGGGGGGAGAACTTAATCGGAGGACCGTAGAAAGATACGACACCGAAAAAGACGAGTGGACGATGGTAAGCCCTCTACCTTGTGCATGGCAGTGGAGTGCGGCAGTGGTGGTCCATGACTGCATTTATGTGATGACATTGAACCTCATGTACTGCTACTTCCCCAGGTCTGACTCCTGGGTGGAGATGGCCATGAGGCAGACAAGCAGATCCTTTGCCTCAGCTGCAGCTTTTGGTGATAAGATTTTCTACATTGGAGGGTTGCACATTGCTACAAATTCTGGTCTAAGACTCCCCTCTGGCACTGTAGATGGATCTTCAGTGACTGTAGAGATTTATGATGTGAACAAAAACGAGTGGAAAATGGCAGCCAACATCCCTGCCAAGAGGTACTCGGACCCATGTGTTCGAGCTGTTGTAATCTCAAATTCTCTCTGTGTGTTCATGCGAGAAACCCACTTAAATGAGCGAGCTAAATATGTCACCTACCAGTACGACCTGGAACTTGACCGCTGGTCTCTGCGCCAGCATATATCAGAGCGCGTGCTTTGGGACTTAGGCAGAGATTTTCGATGCACTGTGGGAAAACTTTATCCATCCTGCCTTGAAGAATCACCATGGAAACCACCAACTTACCTTTTCTCGCCAGATGGGACAGAGGAGTTTGAGCTGGACGGAGAGATGGTTGCACTCCCTCCTGTATAGTCAAGTTGGAGTAGTGCTGCTTGGTTCCGTTCCTTCACTAAGTGACAGGCTAGGAGAGGACCACATGGGGAGTACAAAAAATTCTATCTTTGATAAATTTTATTTTTATGCCCTACTTAATATTTGCTTCAGTATAATATATATCAGTGAGTCTCACAGGAAGATGTGCTTCCATAATAGGAGCTAGGTTAAGAACCTCTAAGTACTCTGAGAGCAGAGGGATGAACAGCTAATGCTGTTAGCCCCGTGCACGTACAGTTCAAAGTTCACTTAGAGAAGTAGCTTCCTTTCTAGTGTGGGACATCACAGACTATGCTGAGATTATTTAGTGTATCTCATTCCTGTGCTTTGTTCTGAAGTTCTGGAATACATTTTTCCAGTAACTAACCAGCTGCGCTTAACACTGATGTCCACATTTGTGTAGCAGTATTGTCCATGTCCTCTGCCATAGTTGAGAACACTCCGTAATTTTGTGGTATTACACAGGAAAGGTACGACTGCAGGACCAGTCTATCCAGTTAGGTGCATGTATCCTCTCTCCACTAACTTGTCTATCTAGAATACAGGTCGTCCAGTCAACTGGCCGTGTACCAGGTACATGAACCCAGTTGCTGGGCTTGCAGTGAGAATTGTGCGGGTCTGTGGGGCTTTCATGATGAAGGTTTCCACCTCTTCTATGCGTTAGCACTGCTCATGCATAGAATTACCTGCTGCTGATGTAGTCCTCCATCTTCAAGATTGAGAGTGGGTTAACCAGGTCATTACATCCTAATTTAATAACAAGCATTACTGTAGAGTGATTGTGTGTAGGTATCTGTTAGCTGTCAGAGTGTGTTTTTTAAACCTGATGTGTGTGTGTCGGGTTAGGTGCCATCTGCACTGGTATCTGCAGGAGGGCAGATGACTGGTGCCTGTGGCATTATCCCAGAAACCACTGGCAGTAGTAGCGCCCCCATGGATGTGAGCATGGGCGCTTGTGACCAACATCGCCGGCATGTTCAACTCTGTAATGTTCTCGCACTGTATTTTGAATGACATTAATTTATTAAATAAATTGTATATATTCAACATATGTTTTTTTGTGTTTCAGGGTGGGCTGCTTTTAGTTTGGTTTTGCTGGTACAGCTCAGGTAGCGGTATTGGTATCTTCAGGATTTTGTGTGAGATGTATGTGCACACAGTAGTTTCCCTTCTGCACTCTGAACATACTACATGGAAAAAATGTAGAAATGAATAATTCCTGGGTTTTAAGTTGTGGCCTCTCTGCTTGGGATTTGTGTTTCTGAGCAATGTGCCTATGCTGTGTGCTGCCCTTGGCCATTCCAGAGTTCAGGTCTCTCATCTTCCTGTTCTTTGGTACCATTTTCTGCTAAAATTGTTTCTTTCTTACTGAGCCTACTTTACAAGTTACAAAACTATCATAGATAACCTGTGTGGAGGAAAACAGCATATAGGGGTTTGACATCCACAGTTTCAATAATACTCAAGACTGGGGCTCATGGGACTCACCTCCTGCCGAATAAGAGGATGAGGTGCTCATACTTCATATGAGAAACAGTCTTCGCAGGGATAGAACATCACCATATCTGTACCTGCACCCACCACTACTGCCTCCTCTGCTATTTATTAGTGAATGGTCATTGGGACTGTTGGCATGACTTCTGGTGGAGCACCAGCCATGAGCAGGAAAAGCCAAGTGAGAGTGTTAAGACCTTGTGTTCAATGAAAAGGACATTCCCACTTCTTCACTGGGAGTTGATAATAGAAGCTTCTGGATGATGGGCAAGCCTCGGAAAATCTGAGCATTCTAGTTCATAGTGAAGGCCTAGGAGCTGTTTGTCTTTGTCTTTTTGGAGGACTGAGGACCATTTTCCTGAGTCTGCCACTTCATTCTTTCCAGAAAGCTTATGTAATTATGCAGATGGACAGAACTTTCTGGAACTGCTAGATTTCCAGATGAGAGCTTTTTTGTCTGGATTTGGTCATCTGAGTTCCCTTGGGTATGCAGTTTTTCTTACCCTTAAGCCTACTTCCTGTGGTTCTCAATCTCCTTTCCCAGTTCAAGAGCTTGGTAAAGCAGGAAGAGCTTGAATGCACAGTGTTCTTTCTCTTCCAGAGTTGTTTTTTTTTTTTTTGTCAGTCGTGGGGCCTGAACTCTGGGCCTGGACGCTGTTCCTCGGCTCTTTAGCTCAAGGCTAGTGCTCTACTACTTGAGCCACAGCACCACTTCTAAATGGTTTATTGGAGATAAGAGTCCATGGACTTTCCTGCCCTGCTGGCTTTGAAATGTGATCCTCAGATCCTCAGCCTCTTGAGTAGTTAGGATTACAGGCATGAGCCACTGGCGCCTGGCCTCAAGTTCCTTAAGTGCCAAGCAGGTCTTCCAGAGCCATTGCCACAGCCATGGGAATGTAGTAAGGGCCTGACAGTGAAGATGTGCCTGCTTGGCTGAAACTGTTATGGGCCAGGGCTTCTGCATTTCACTGATAGGTAGCAGCTTCTCTGCCTTTTGCCATGCTTAGATCCTATATACCCCTTCAACAGGGACAGTTCAAAAGCAGATGGATCGCCATAGTAAGTCACCCTAATGCAGTTCATACTTCCATGTTCTTGGCAACCAGGTGAGAAGCTGAGGAAATACCTAGGAAGAAGAAATGGGCCTGTGGGCCTCCTCCCTGCATGACACTATTTCTGTGGCTGTCTCCTCTACCATACAACTAGTCACAGGATTGCCTGAACATCTGTATCAGGTAAGCTTCATGCACACAAGCACTGCCCTTCAGAACCCATTGGAGTCTCCACTGGCAACAGCCAACAGCTTCGTTCATGTAGCGAGCTATTCTCTTCACCTCTTCATTTTTCTTGATGGTTCAGGGGATTGAACTTAGGGCTTTGCACCATGGGGAGGCACTGCACCACTTGAGCCACACCACCATCCACTTTGGGTGCTGATTATTTTCATGACAGGGTCTCACTTTATGCCCTGGCCAATGTGGGTTATAGTCCTCCACTTCCTTCCCCATGTGTTCCTGGGAAGGACAGGTGGGCACCATTGTACTCAGACACTATTACTTTTTTTTGGGTCCGGTCGTGGGGTCTGAACTCTGGGCCTGGGCGCTGTCCCTCAGCTTTTCAGCTCAAGGCTAGTGCTCTACCACTTGAGCCACAGCGCCACTTCGGCTTTTTTCTTTTTGCTTATGTGGTGCTGAGGAATTGAACCCAGGGCCTCAGGCATGCAATGCAAGCGCTCTACCACTGAGCCACCTTCCCAGCCCCACTATTACTTTTTGAAAGTTTGTATAGTTTAAGTTCTGGAAGTTCAGCGTTCTGGTGCTGGCATCAGCTCTGCCATGGTGAAGTTCATTCTCTGTGGCAGAGGCATTGCAGTGACCAGTGTACATGTGAGGTCACGTGGCAAAGGCAGAAGGTACAAACAATTCTGTCTTGAACACTTATCAGGGCCTCATGAGAAGAGTATTGACCTCAGGTCACAGCCTAATAACCGGATTCTGTTCAACATTCTCAGTGAGATTACTTTGCCTAGGCTGCCTCAAACTCCCCCACTGTCCCCACCTCCCTAGCAGCTGGGAATATAGGTAAGCACTGCCCCTGGCAGTTCTAAACTGTTCATAAGGCAATGCCAAGAAGTCTAATGCACACCTGTGAATGCCTGTGCACCACCATCCACCTCAGCTATGCCCACTATGTCATCAAGTGGCTCTTGTTTTCCCATGGCCACTTTGTTCCCGGAGTGCAGCCCCATCCAGGGACACATGGCATTTACAGTATCTGAGTCCTGTCGACATGGGATAACATCAGGGACCTCCTGAGGCAAGTGTGGTGGAGTCAAGAACAGAAAACACAAAACAGCCCTGTTGTGCTTGAAAAGTACCTGAGGTAGGATCTGGTGATGGGGCTTCCCCACTCCCAGCCCTGTGTGGATCAGGTCAAGTCAGAGAACTGACTCCATTCCAGGCTCCTGGATGGTAAAGGAGTCAGAAGTTCCCTGGTGCATCAGAAGAACAGCAAGTGGCTCCACCCTGGGTGTGACATGGACTGCCTGAACCGTGGCATAACTCAGCTCCCCTGTGAAGCTGTCGAGCAGGTGCAAGACAGCACCTGAAGGGACACAGATGACAACACTGAAGTCCTCAGGGCCCAGGTGGAGTCCAAGCTGTCTGAGGGTAACACCAGTGATGGGAGAGGACATGGCTTGACTGGCCTCTTCGGTGCCTTGTGTGGCCCACGAGCTGAGGTCTCTGTGGGGAGCCAAGGGCAGTTACCACACAGTGCACCCCAAGGCTGGCATCTTGTTGCCAAGCTGGGCTACAGACCACACGGACAACAACATGCCAGAGGATTCCAGGGCAGACGGTCATTTTATTACCACTTTTTCTTAAAGTGACAATAAGAATTTTACAATTCAATGTGACCAAACATGATTCATCATTTTTGAAAACAACGGACAACTGAAAGAAGTGATACAAATGATAAAAGCACTAAAGCCAAGAGAGACTTGCTTCTGATCAGGAGATGCCACAGCCAAATCTTAGAAGCTTCTGACGATGGCTTGTGGACACCGTCTTCCCAATACCTGAGGGACACTTGTCACCAAGTGCTTTCACCAGCTTACTCATCAGATACTTTCTAAGTCTTATCTTTTTGCTATGAAATCATATTAAGAAATGAGGCAGTATTTTCACAGAAGCCTTCTGAAAATGCCAATGGCCTTTCTGGGCTCAGTACCTGACTGAAATGTTCAAATGTTTATATATTACACACAAAATAAACTGAGCAGCAAGTTGTGGGTGTGAGACTCAGAGCAAGGGTTAGATGTGAAGCCCTGATTGTGATCTAAATAGTTTCTGTATCTTTATGTAGAAAGGTAAACTTCTCAACAGCACAAATACAAAACGCATTTAATTTTACAAAATACACGCAGCCCCTCAGACATAACACACCTGGCAAATGTGGTGATGACATGGGGCGGGAAAGTGGTCATGCGCACCAGCCCTTATGTGAAGGGCCATAGGCACATGTTCTCAGTCCTTCACTGTGGAATGTGAGGAATTGTGGAGAATTAAAAGTTACGGAGTCGGAAGTTGTGGAATGGGAATGGTCTGCAGCAGGTATGCTATGCGGGCTGGCGTCATTTGTGTAACCCTGTCACGGTGAAAGGCTCTCAAGACAGGGTGGGAAGGCATGAAGGCTGGGTGGTCTCACCAAAGAATCGGGGCATGTCCTCCAGGGTTGGCATCACTTCAGGAGAACTGGCACTGCCCTCAGGTGACCACTGCTCCCCTGCCTGGCAACTCCACAGGGGTGGGTGAGATAGACCAAGCCTGGCCTCCAGTCTCTAAAGACTGCCAGGCTTGCCACCAGGACTGGACCAAGGGAACTGTCATTTGTGCAAAACTTCTCCACAAAACACAAAACCTAACACAAGGGGTCTGCCAGGAGGTGATGCCTGCTCCACTCTGAAATGTGGACCTGGCAGATTAAAATTGAAACTTCTTTCCAGAAGAATTCTTATAACCTTAAGCAGATTAAATGCTACTGTCAAAATCCCGTCACTTGAAGCACCTGCGCCGTCAGCCACCTGCCCTGTATCTGCAGTCCATGTTCTCAGTGGCTTCACAAAGGAAGTTTTTCTCATAGAAGCACTGAGCACACAGAGCACTGAGTCACAACCTGGACAGCATAGAGTCATCTTTGCTGCCAACAAAAGCTGCTACTGTTTCTTAAAGGGAAAGCATACATGGTTAGAATCACTCATGGACTCTAGGATAGACCACACTAGTCCCGTGAGCTCTATCTGGGTGACAAGGACTCAGCCAGCTGTAAGTCCTCCTTACCCATGCCCCTGTCACTACGCCAGGATACTGGCTCCTAAGTCAGACAGCAGTGGGACTGCTGCCAGGCTGCAGATGGACTGTGCCCAAGAGGCAGAAGGCAGCTGGCTGCCCCCAGCTCCCCTGGGATGAGTGTTAGGCACTCAGCTGTCAGGCACAAGGCCTTGGCAATTCCTGCCACACCTTTACTACAGCTGC